GAGATGCAGATAATTGTGTCTGTCTACTGTTCTGCATAACATTATCATTATCATTCCAGTTCCATGTCCAGTTTGGAAGTAGATACTGAACTAAAATCCAAATAACATTAAAACAATAGTTTGAAAGATGATACCATTCACAAAAATAAAGTTATGTACATGGTTTTCTTAAAGTAAGTAGAATGCCAGGAACTAGTCTATTTTGGTCCTGATGAGATAGGCAGAATGGCTTTAATTTATTACTGCTATCCCCGCCAGTCTGAGACAGTATCAGTATTGATGATTTCACATGGGAGAAAGAGACCGACCGACAGATACACACACACACACACACACGCAGAAAGATGCAACTCCCAATATTTGTGTAGTTTATATGAAGTGAAGTGTTGCTGTCCTATGTGTACATGTAACATTATTTTTGCTCTCCGAGTTATTCTTGAAATGCTCTGACCTCATGAATCATGGTTTATAAACTACGGTGTATTATTGTGAAAGGTTTTTTTGTTTTTTATTTTTCAAGCCTGATTTCCTTCTTTCTTTTGTTTATTAGTATTAAGCATTGATTCAGAACAATAATTGTGCAACACTATGTTACATTTTACACAACCTAGTTTATTCGTGCCCATAACTAGAGAACTCTTTAAATCCATGGCTACAATTTATGAATTATAAAGTAATCACAATTTAAATTTGCTATGATTTTCATGTGTGTGTATATATAAAATGGGCAGTGAAGGGAAGAAAAAATGATTTAATTCATGAAGAGTTGGGAAGGAGATGTATGCAACTGCTTCCTGATTTTCAATTAGGGTACGCTCAAAAACATTTTAAATGTGACATTTTGTTAATGTGACATTCAGGATCATCGCCAGAAACATTTTCAATGGAGAACTCTTTTCTGATTAGGCGATGTCCCTTTTTTTCCTGAGAAATCATGAGGAAATGTTTCCTGTCTTCAAATAATAATGAGTAAGAGCTTACACCATAGAGCCTGTTTCCTATTTTTCATCCATTTCATGGTTTGTTTTGCAGAACAATTTGGAAAAGGTTGCATTTGTCAGAGTTTATTTAGTTTCTCAAGGCAGATTTCCTTTGCTGAGATGGAACGATGTGATTAGTGTTGCGGCTGGGTGCCAGCAGAAAGAAACCATTGTCTGGATGCTGCTGCACAGCTTTTATCATGCACGAATCCTGAGCCATGAAAACACTGGTAAGAAATCATGTCCCTCCCCAAAAAAGAAAAAAAAAATCTGGGTGATCCACTAATCTCCATTTATTATAATTACTAATAGTAAAGTAATGTTTCAAAGCTCCTTTTATTCACATTTGCTAATTATTTTCTCCCAAGTCCTTCTGTAGAACTATGCATGCTGCCAATATCCCCTCCCCCTCCCCCAGTTCCAGGCAGACGTCAGAAAGATGGAGATTTATTGAAGTGCTAGTAGACTGCATTTGGCCTTGTGGAACATAAATTGTGCAAGGTCAGCATAAATTCCTGGTGCATATTATTTACAGTCCTTTTAAAAAATATTTCTTCACCCCACCCTACCCCATGTTGGTATAACTTTTCCCTTTAATTTTATCAGAGTTTTGTGTGGGCCCTACTAATATATAAAGAGAATCTGTGTGTGGGGGGGGGGAAATAACAACAAAGTTTGGTATTTGTTTCACTTATTTCATAAATTTGTCCATTGAGCACTATGCTCAAGTAATCCCTCTCCCACCCCATCCAGTCAATTCAGTTAAAATAATAAGAGCCAATTGTATTTGAGTATTTCAATAAACAGATTTGGGTCCCTCCAGTGGTGGGATCCTGCCGGTTTAACAACTGGTTCAGTGTTTCACGTGCACACTTGCGCTTCACGCATCTGAGTTTTACCAAAGGTAAGTTATTTCTTGGGGAGTAACACAACTGAAGCACGGCAATCCACTCTGCTGCACTAATCAGTTGAGAGGATATAGGTAAGAAAAGCGCAAAGGAGAGCGGGTGGGGCATCCTGATCGTCGGAGCAAACCGATTCACTCTCAGCTGATTGTTGGAGCTACCGGTTCATTCAAACCGGCTGAATCTCACTTCCGGACCCCTCCTGCCCTATATAAACCTTACAAACTTTGCCACAACATTACTATACAAATTCTAAAAGCACACCCTATCCTGCTCTAAAAGGTTTTTGAAGACTTTTATTAAAAAGTTATTGATACCTATCCGTTTCAGTAAAAAAAAGTTACATCCAAATAATTTAGAAAGCTCTAGCTTTGGTGATGTACAGTCAGAGACACAGTGTTGAGACAGAGAAGACTTGGGCAATAGTGAATCTTTCCAAGAGTAATTGTCCTGTCCAAATTGATCCAAGAGCACAGCATAAGATCACCAGGAAGTCATTAAGGAGTCACAAACAACATTGTGGATCTTTATGCTTCTCTCACCCTGGTTAAATCCAATATTCATAAATCCACCATCAGAAAAATACTGTATAGAAATGGGATTCATGAAAGAATAACAAGGTGGAAGCCATTGTTTATAAAAGAAGCATTGATCTTCATCTCAGTTCTAAAAACTGATAGGAATTAAAACTTGAAGTAACATTTTTTTTATTGAAAAAAATCTGTAAGACAATCTAATTTGGAAGAGTTATTATCCTACAACTCTTAAAATGCCTGTATGAATGGCCAAATCTCCAGAAAATGGGGGTTTCAAATTCAAGGACTGCGGATGGATGCTGGCTCCACCCTTGCCCAGTTTAGCGAAGGGGGGAAGTCCCGATACATCACGTGCTGCTGCCGTGACGACACGAGTTTGACACCCCTGCCATAGAACATAAAACAGAATAGAACATAAAGTAATAGAGTTGGAAGGGACCTTGGAGGTGTTCTAGTCCAACCCCCTGCTTGAGCAGGAGACCGTATACAATTTCAGACAAATGGTTGTCCAGTCTCTTTTTGAAAGCCTCTGGTGATAGAGCACCCACAACTTCCATTGGTTGATTGCTCTCGCCATTAGGAAATTTCTCCTTAGTTCTAGGTTGCTTCCCTCCTTGGTTAGTTTCCATCCATTGTTTCTCTTCTTGCCTTTTGATGCTTTGGAAAATAGTTTGACCCCTTCGTCTTTGTAGGAGCCCCTCATATATTGAAACAGTGCTATCATGTCTCCCATAGTCCTTCTTTTCATTAGACATACCCAGTTCCTGTAATTGTTGTTCATATGTTTTAGCCTCCTGATCATTCTTGTTGCTCTTCTCTGCATTCTTTCCAGAGTCTCAACATGTTTTTTTATATTGTGATGACCAGAACTGGATGCAGTACTCCAGAAATTTTAGGCTCAATTGTGGTCGTAAGTCAAGGATCACCTGTACTGTGGTTGAGAACTCATTCAATAATTTAACAATTAATTAAATAAGTTCTAATCAATTGCACCTGCCAGACCATCTTCAAGAATAATTCAGTGTAGCATCCAGTGCAGTAATTTGAGAGATTATTATAGAAGGGATCCGTGAGGCTAAACAATCCTTGACTTCATGCAGTCATAGCTCCTGCACCATCTGAAATTGAGGGGGTTTTTTGGTCACTATAGAGGCTATTTGGAGAGAGAGGGGAGGGATGACCCCAAGACACATGTGTTCTTAAAACTGCTGCGTTAGTCAAAAGAGATTAAATTCTTAAATTTAAGAATCACTTGTCCACTGTAAGTCTGTTTTTTCTTAACTCATCTTTGATTATTCGACCATTGATCAGTCCATTATTGCCTCCAAGCAATTCTCAAAAATCTGCAGGCTTCATAGTTTCTGGTGGAAAGGTGATACTGAATTAAGTATCTTACATTTAAAACAGTCTTTGTGGCTGTGTGTTTATGTGTCTTCAAGTCAGTCTTGTCTTTTGGTGCCTGGCAGGACAAGTCTCTGTGGTTTTCTTTGCAAGATTCCAAAAGTGATCTACCATTGCCTGCTTCCTAGGGTTGAGAGTGTGTGACTAGCCTGAAGTCATCTGGATAGCTTCATGCCTAAAATGGAAGTAGAAGTTGCAATCTCTTGAGTTTTTAGCTTGATACTACACCAATCTGGCTTCTCTGCAGCTGCAAAATAGTAATTATAAAAGCAGTTTCCACTGAATCAGGTCCCACTCCTTTATACAGCCATAGCCATGTCAGTTTCTTGGCAATTACATAATAGTTTTTTTTTCTTTTCTTTTTTCTTTTTATTACATAGACAACACATACACACAACAATAAAAAAACAAAAAAGAAAACAACAACAAAAAACATCATCACATACAGCATGTCGTTTGGTTATAGGTGTTTTAACATCCATATTCTCGA